ATGGTTTGATCTGCTCCCCCTGACAACTTGCTTCCTGTTGTACTCTTTGCAAAACTGTAATGTTGCTCTTTGCTCATCAATTCCAGAAAAAGGCATATAAAGGCATTTACAAGTGGGCTGTACCCAAAAGGACAACTCAGGTTGTCAGGTAAGTACTAACATGAGTACAATCATCAAAGCTTGAGTCCTGTCTTATCAGCAAAATCACAGTGATTTTGTGGCACAATGATCTTTGCTTGAATAATAACTATTTGTCAAAAAAAAAAAGCAGAAAAGTATTTCTTATTTGCTGATGTGTCTCAAATTTAAAGGAATTGAAGCCTCCTATTTTTAAAGCTATTTGGTCAAAATAAATACACAACATTCTGCAGTAATCAAAATAATTTCTTTTCCACAACCACTTTTTTTTCCTACTACTCATCTGACAATAATGTTTTTTTGTCTTAATATTTTAGATTATTCTAGATAGTAGAACAATAATAGAATATTAGAATTAGAGTATTATAGAATAGAATAATCTTTAAATTTCTTTTTTTTTTTTTTAAGATCCTCTTTCCTTCTTAATTAGAATATTAAAATCACCCAAACTTTCACAGGTTAGAGAAACAGTACAATTAGCAGTCAAAATCATTGGAATGTAGCTTGGAGAATCAGAAAGGAACACTCCTGCTGACAGTCTGTTTTCTGACAGTCATCTGTGAAACTTACATTAATGATGTTCATTGTTCTGTCTACATTACATCTGTTTCAAAGCAACTTTAGTGCTTTAAATGAAATGAAATGAAATGAAATGAAAGCAACTTTAATGCTTTAAAGATAGTGGGAAAATTCCACTACATGCAATATCCACTGACATGTAGCACATCACTGCAGTGTGATATATGATTAGGAAAGATAACTACCAGTCTGTTCTACTGATATTCAGATGTGAAATAAAGTCATGTCATTGTAAAACAGGGTCAAATTAATTCAGAGTCATAGTGAACATTTGCTCACTCTCATATGCACTATGTTTTTTATTGTTTCTTCCTTTAGGCATCTTGTAAGTGAAGGACTGATATTTCAGTTCTACTACTTTCAGAAGACTGAAGCTATTATTTTGTTTTCTGTGTTTATCTTTATTTTTTCTATGGCATTTATTTATTATTTTTTTCATTTGTATTACTGAAATTGTTAAACTGCACTGCTGTGCTAAAAATACAAAAATCATGGGTAATATAGTGAAAACGGAATGTGACTGAACAGAATGTATTTAAGAACTAAACCAACTTCATAATCAGTATGGAGGTACTTCTTCAGTAGAGATGCCAAACCTCTCAGAGAAAAAAATACTCAGTGGATGTGTGCAGTTGGCAGGAGTTACAAGTTAAGGAAAAAAGTATAATCTACTCTGTAGTTCTCAAAGGTTTTGTGCAGCACAGGGAAATGGGGAGACAGGAATATTAGTACTTAAAATGTGTGACTGTTCCCTCCTGTGAACAAGCAGCCAGGCTCGCTATTAAAAGTTTTGCTTTTAGTTATGTCAGCAAGAAATTATTTTAGCAAGAACTTTGAATTTACAAACACAGTACTCGTCGCTAAGACAGCCATTTAAGCTAAAGCTCAATGAAAAATATGTTGTGGGAGTTTTTTTTCTTCCCATACAGAATCTTTGGGAAGCTGTGATACCTGGCCAAATATATGTATGCATATATATATATGCATATATATTAAATATATGTATTTTATTTACATATATTTTTCTTTTTGCCAGTAGTAAAATGTATCTCGAAGAAAAGAGGTTATGGACACACCCATCTACTGCGGCCAAGGGATCTACAAAGATGCCTGGGATCCACAAGGCAAGTACGTGTGCACAGTGGCTATTATCCAAGATTTCCAAAATCCAGTAATTCCTACTGCCAGCAAAAAGACTTTCCAAATTTCCTTTCTCCTTTCCTCTCTCCCCTAAGCTCTGCAGGCAGGAGCCCCCTCCCTTCTATCTCTTCCCATTAGAAATGTCACTGCCCCATCTGCTGCCCCTGAACTCATTCGTACCGGCAGGGACTCACGGGCAGAACGAAGGAGCTGAAGTAGTTCAGCAAAATGTGCTACACAGACCCTTCCAAGGCAATTGCTAGCATTTTCCACCAAGAAAAAGTGTTGTGCAGAAGGGACTAAGGCTGCTATGGTTCTTTTTGATGCCTGTAAGACAGATCAGGACGCATGTCCTGCATCATTAAATCCGACTCCTTGCTGCAGGGGTTTTGTTTATTTGTTCTGCTTGAGTGTGTGTGCTTTGTGCCATCCAAGCTAAGTGGTGACCAAAGGAATTGTTTCCCTGGACACAAGAGATGCTACTGTAATACCTGAATTACATGGAATTACCTTTGTGCAACCATCTCAAATGATACAATTTCAGCCAGCAAATGTACATGTTATTGTGGTCAGCAGGCCTTCACTTACTTGAAATCATGAATACTTTATGGCTTTTATACACAGCTCAAAAAGTGTGCACTCTTATTGGAAACCACATTGTACAGGAACTGCTTCTTCTCATAATTACATATTTGGCAACAGAGGGTGAGGGGGTGAAGGAAAGCCATTTTCCCATCTGCAGAAAATCCTGACAGCCTCTTAAAAACAACAGTAATGAGGGAGAGAAAAAGGGGTATTTGTGAAGGCTTTAGATAACAATTTTATGTAAATATGCCAAACATAAAACCTTCCTTGATTTACTTTTGTTTGCACAGGAGGAGGCTTTGCACCATCCACTGGAACTCCTGGCAAAATACAAGGATCTCAGGGCAGGTAGCTCTCACAGAATATTTTAAGAAATAAATTCTTCATTGATGTTCTATTTCACAGTATTCACACCGTTCCAACTCTAGACAGAAGCAGAAAATTAAGAAGCAAAAAATGGATCGAAGTTTACTGAACCAGTAAAGTGAAGAAACGGGAAACATTCTGATTAGTCTTTACCAAGCCCAAGTAGCTCACTTCATCCTGAGTGAACTCCTCTTTGCTGTGGAGCCCTGAATAAGGGCTCATGGAAGTTTGGAAAGGAAATAAGTATTAACTGTTGTCAGCTCTGGACAACAGCAGAAGGAAGCAAGGAAAGCTTTTTAAGAGCTCTGTCCCAGGAACCAGACATGAAAAGCAAAGCTCTGCCTTCAGCTCAGCCCTTCACCCTACAGTTTTACAACAGTTTCAGGGTAAGTTTTTTGCATGATCTGACACCTTACTAAATCTATATCCTCTTGTCCAGGGGAGAACGTGGTGTGGCAGTCACCAGCACTTGAATAAGTGGAAATTTCCAGTTATAGAAGGAGAAAGCTTGAGGCCTTTGAAAAGTCTTTGCTTTGTAAAGCATGGCCCCTGCACTCTGCCTTGCAGTCCTTTCTGCTGGCATGTACAATTTTAACCCTTCAGCTGAAGGTCTATATTGTAAAAGTCTGCAAGGCAAGATAGTGAGTGCATATGTTTATCTGTAAATGTCTCTATTCAGAGACAGAAATTCTATTTATACCTTTACATGTCCTGTAAACTTTCTGTCACATCCATAAAGCATTAAAACATGCTTATGTAAAATAGAGCACATGAATGTCTTTGATCTCCAGGAGTATTAATCTCTCCTACTTGTGTTACTTGCTGCTTAATAAAAAAAGTATTTCTTCTAACACCCAAATAATTCAGACCAGTGAAAATGTCAGGACACCCTGTCAGCGAAGATGGTTTTGAGATTTGTGGTTGCTGGATGCTGTGAAATGTATACACAGGGACATCACAAGATAAGACTGTTCCATAGGTCAGTAATTTGAAACAGACAGTACTTGAAAGAAGCAAAACAGAAGAAGAAAGGTAGGTATTGCTTATCATGCTCTCAGACTGCTCTTTGACTGATATTTCAGGTTAGGAGTAAATTCATCACAACTGTGGTAAATCAGCTCAAACATGAGCAGAACATGCTGTGATACTCCATCTTGGACCACTCCTGGAATGGTGTGTGGATTGAATAAAAGCACAGATGCTTTGCCACCATCACTTAGATGTAATCATGGTTTCTTATCTCCAGTCATTATACAGTTCTACTTCTGTTTTTATTATTTCTTAATGGTTTTGCTTTATTTAGCCAAACTAGCTATGCTTAAATCCAAGTTTTAAATGGAGTATCTACAAACTTAGGTACTGGGTTTTTCCTTGAGCTTTCTGATACCAAGTTTGAAAAACATCTTTCTTTATGTGTAAAGGGAGATTAAAAGCTTCACTTCTAATTTGCATGCTTGGTATTTAGCAGTCTGAAAGAGGGTTTGTTTGTTCTGGCTTGTAATTTTTTTCCAGGCATTTGGAAGCAATCTGCTGCTAGACACAGCACAAACTAGCCAGCACAAAGTGCAGCTTCAACTGTGTCCTGATAGTTGGAGAAAAGTCTCTGAACTCACTAAGTTCACTAGCCCTGCTGTCTGGGGGCTGAGGATGAAAACAGGATAGCACTTTTCCTAAGGATCAAATCTCATACTCCACCAAAGTCTTACTGAAGGTCTTGGGTGCAGAGGAGCAACAAAGAGGGCAGGTGGGTACGCAGTGTTGGCTGCCCAAGGGACAAAAGCTACAGGAAAACTTTAGAAATGCTTTAATAGATCAGCCTGTTGGGTGACACCATCCTCCTCCTTCTGAAGGACACAGCTTGTGTAGTCTCTGCCCCTCAGACTCTGAGCAAGAGCTAAAAACATTCTGAGGGATTGCAGTTGCAGCTCTGGATGGCTAAATTCAGCTGTACCGTATCAGTGTAACTGGAAACGTGTTCCACTTTGGATTTTATCCACATCAGCTACTACCATGTAACAAATAATTACTCCTCTCTTTCAGCTTGGTGTAGACAGAGCAGAACAAAATGAAACATCAGAAAATAATAGGAGAATAAAAAACATCTCTTAAATTGATTTTACAAACAAGTTTTATTGTTACAAAAAAGGAAAAAAAAACCCAAACAAACCAAACCCCCTGCCCCCCCACCACCTCACACCAGGGTTCCCAAATTCAATTGCTGTGTTATTTTAAATTGAATACTTATGAACTTCTGATTCTTGCACTTCAAAACTTCTTGATTACTTTATCTCAGCCTGAAGGACTCAACATTATTGTAACTCAAGGCATAGCACCAAAATGTAGGACCTGTCTGACATCCAGTCAGGGTAATTCCGTGGATTAATCAGGATGTCTGACTCCAGAGATTTTGTGCACATTGGCTGAGCAACTGATTATGGCTGTGCTACAAATGAGTAAGACTATACATCATATAGCTTCCCAGACAGCACATGATGTATTCTGCCTCAGGAAATTCAGTGTGCATATTACTTCACAGCTTGGATTCCAGTTTCTCACAGAAGTGACCTCCATGTTCTGGAATTATTTGAGAAGTTTGTGGCACTCAGAAAGCATCTTGTTTTACAATCATGGTAAAATTCAAGCATATGAGCATATTATTCTCAGAATCATCAGAGAATCCTTGCACAACAACACTATAATAGCCCTAAAACAAACACAAAAGAAAAAAAGACAATTAGTGCACAATACCACCCGCTCTTGTCTAAGTGGCTTCTTGGAATGGTTCTGGTGACTTCTGATAGAATTGGAAAAGACAGATTCCCATCAGGGACTGTTTTCATGGGTGAAGTCAAGTACATGAGTGCATGAAAATAAAAGTGTTCAACTTTCTTCTCATGGCCAGAGTACTCAGGAACAGCATTTCCTGGTCTAGCAAAGTCCCATCAGGGAGTGTCAGGTCTACCATAAGTTTCTCATCTATAGGAGGACAGCTGATGGCAGAGGATGTTCCTGTCCATTACCAGTTCTGGGGCTACAAGAGGTGTTGGACTGGATGGAGTCCAACACTGTTGGATGCCCAGGAGTTAAGGGGGATGGTGGAGATTTTGGACCAATAGGAACTCTTTAGTGACATTTTTAGGGATTAATGGGGATGATAAGGGCCTTGGAAAAGCTCAGACAACTGATGAGTCAGCTGGAAGAGAATGGCTTAACCTGAGGACTGGTGCTGCCCCTGTGTTTAACAGTGGAGCATTGCTTTTACTTTTTGGAGATTGTTATCCCTCTTCAAATCTTTGAAAATGGTTCCATGGAGTAAGAGAGCAGCACATGAAGAGAATGTAAAATAAAGAATGAAGTGGGCAGAAGGAATATGAATGGATCTACTCAAACAGTGAAAAGGAAAGAGAATAATTTACCAAACAAATTGAAATAATTAAGGTGACATTAATTGATTACTTGGGTCTTTTCTTTTATAAAATAAAGGAGGAATGATAAAGGAATATAACCTTAGAACAGCTAGCATTTCAGAGATGCTACCATTTTAGTGTCATCACTTCTATTATAAGAAAGCTTTCTGACATTTCTGTTTTCTACAGTTTGGGTGAACATCTCTCTTCAGAAAAAAATATACCTGTAAGTATTTGATTTTACTATTATTATTTCTTTATACGAAACATTGAAAAGTACCTTTGGAAACTTTATTCTTGAGCCTTTAATGTCAAATGCTGATATAAGTGTTTCTGAAAAACAGAGATAATTATAATACAAAAAGTTACTTAACCATAAAGCCATCAATCAGACTGCCTAAATAACTTCAAAGCAATATGGCATATCTCTCAGCAGCAGTTGCCAATGTCCTTTACTCTTTCACTGATAAAGCCCTCACCTGGTTCTTCTCTCAGATCTCTGGCTACTTGTTGAAACCTCGTTAGAAAATAGAAATTAACCACAGTGCTCCAGCACCATCTCCTCCAAACACATCCTACTGTGATAAATCCAGTAGTTTAACTTGTAATAGCAGTTCACTTGAATGGTAAATGAAGTGAGCTGATAATGATTTTTAGAGAAAAGAAAACAGACTGTATTTTGACCTCCTTGCAGGTCTTTTTTGGCCTTTAGTCTGCTTGAATTCTCTGAATCTGGGCCTGTGTCATTTTAATACTTCTTAGCCCCTGCCAAGGGATTGACTCGACTCCATAAAAAAAAAAGAAAAGAAAGAAAGAAAAACAACAACAACAAAAAAATAACAGCACCATACCTGGGTGTAGAAAATATCTTAAAAAACATGTCCAGACACATATCTAAATAAACCTTGTTCTGGATATTAGTAGTGCCCACATCACCTCTCAAGTTTCCTGTTCAGTCCAGTCAAGTGCAATCTTTCCATCTCATTTTAGAGACGTTTACAATAAGAGTCATAATGAGATGAAGGATATTAGTAGTCCTCATTTATGTAGATGGAAATTGCAGTACAAGGAAGTTAAAATATAGATTTTGGACATTTTCTACTTCAGTGGGGTTCTGGCACTGGAGAATTGCCTGCTCTGAGGTCTGCTTCCTGCCAAGCAAGGTCTAGATTGTGGAGATAAAAATCTGTTTGCATAGGTTGGTTGCACCATGTATTTTCACACCAACCTCCTTTCAGTGTTCCGCACACTGAGTATTCATCATCAGCTCCGCTGCAGAGGAGTTCTTTCCAGAAGAGTGCTTTGGCACCATCATACCAGACATTGAAGACAACCTTCAAAAAGTGGATGTCACTTCCTAGTTAAAACATTGCAAGTAAGAAAATGGTAACTGGTGGGGAGGAAAAGCATATATGGAGACATGTCATTTAGATAAAACCTAGATTTTTCCAAAATACTGTATTTTTGTAAGACTCCCCCAAAACTAAAAAGGTATATATCTTGAAAACTGCTACTTCCAGAAAAAAAAAAAAGAAAAAGAAGCTATTTTTGTTTTTAACAACAATCACAACAAAAATTAGTCTTAAAAAGTATTTGGGAGAACAATTTCAAAGTCTGGTTTAATTTCTTCAGTAAAGAAAAGATAGTTCACTCAGCTCCACAGCTAACCTAAACAAGTGCTCAAAAGAAGACCTTCATTTGAAGCAGGTGTTGCAAACAATAATGAATGCATCAAAAAGATGTCTTTCTAGGGAAGCAAACCTACTGCAGAAGTATGATATGTTATGATACAGCCAGGTCCTAAACATTTCATTAGCTGAGCTTGATGGATTTAAGCTGGGTTTGAAGACCATAGTTAGGTTTGCACACAAAATCCAGTACCATTTCCAGCTTCTGGAACATGCATATTCTTCATACAAGTCCTGCCATATTTAGATGGCCTGATGATACTCTCTTTCCTTTAAAAGGCTTGGATCTTCTCCAGGCCAGAAGATCAAAATGCACATAGACCTAAACTGTCACAGATTTGCATGTACAGTGACAGTCTGTATGCAGGGCTCTGGTAACTGCTCCAAGTAAAACTCAAATGCATTTTCACAAATCATCATTTCTGTCCATTGCTGTAGTTTATCCATTCCATTTTTAATCCCAGAAAGCAATTTCCAGAATCACTGGGCATTTAGAATGAAGTGTCAGTTTTTCAGTTGTATTTAATTTTTAGCATTTCCAGAATATATTTGCCTGGTTAAGAGAGACTCACTTGGAATCCAGGTAAGAGCAGCCTTCCAGACAGATTTGTTCATCGTGCTGCAAGGTGTCAGATTAAACATGAAAGCATGAGCTGTAGAATCTACAGAAAAAAAGCATTTCACATTGATAGTGTGAACAGGCTTCTCCATAAAAATAATAAGAATATGCAGTTATACACACAAAACCCACATACATATTTTTAAATGTATTTAATATAAGGTATATGATATCAAATAGTCCATATATGTGGTAAATATTAAATATGTATTTTAAATTGTATTATTAATTATTTTTAGATTTAGAGGACAAAACCAGTATCATATTTCTTTAAGTAAAAAGAGAAGTCAATTTTTGGTTGATGATATTTTGCACAAAAAAGACAAGAGACAAAAGAACCATTATTTCTCTTTTGAAGATACACAAACTTTTCATGAGCACTAAACTAAATGGTCTTCTACTGAAAATATCCCCACTTATGCTAATCATGCTGACAACAGCTAAAAATGTTTTTCATGCACCAGCATATTTTCCAGGATAATGTAAATGAACTTTTGAGTAGATTTGCTATGTGAGTGACCTTCCTTGCATTTTTAAAATACACAAAATATCAACCCATGACACAGACATGGCCAGAAGGGACACACTATGCTGTCTCAGAGCCTGATTGGTACCCCAGCTTGACAGAATGTCACATTCTTTCTTTTTTTCTACATAATTCAAGCTTTTCATTGTAACATACTGGTTAACTCAATAGGCATAATTTATACAAGAGAGTACTGTTGAAACAAGTTTAAATCCATTATCTTCTAACATTTCCAGAACGAAAACATGCCTATATGAGAATAAAATTCTCTCTCTCCTAGCTGCTGGAATCAGCATTGTAGTAAGATTTGTGTCTATGAAATAAAATTCTTATAACAGAGTGATTAGTAACAGAAATATACTTTTTATTTTTCTATATTCCTCAAAGAAACAAATTTGAAAGAAAATTCACAATACCTCAGACTACAGTAATTATCATGCATAATTAAGAGAAGAATTACCTATTTTTTACTTACCACAAAAAGCATAGGACATTTCAAGATCTGGTGACATACAAATGAATTCACTGACTCCAGGGGTGAATAAAATGCAAAAAAAGAGTCCAAACATGGTTAATTTTTTTTTTTGCTTGGTGTTCAATGGTATAAAACTTCGTTTGGGAGAAAGAGGAAGAAAATTCAGCACAGTCATCATCAGTCACATGTCTTCAGGGAAAGTTCTGTTATTTATCAAATTCTTTGCAACCTTTGTTAATCCTATTGCAACACGGCCAGTTATCATCACACTAAATTTTGTTAAGAAGAGTAATTCCTGCTTTTGTTGTTACATTTTACCCAGACAATGCAGCTCAAACCAGGAGTGAAAAATGAAAGAGAAAACTATATGAAATGAGGAAGTGAAATGACACTATGACTACCAGAAGCACGTAAAGAGCAAGTTTAGTTGACTCATCAGGTGTAAGATTTTTAAAGGCATCATTTCAAACACAGAGTTTCCTGCACATATTAAAGAAGAGAAAAATATGTAACTGATGAAAAATAAGTCCATTCTTTTATTTTTATGGTAGTCAGTACCTCTCACTGGTTTTCATAATAGATTTCTTACAAAGCTCACCGTGCTTTAAGAATATGCCAGAAATCTGGAGGAATGTAATTAGATGATGTATTACAAATGGAGCTGAATGCAACCATCTGACATTACTGGGTAGAACCTCTCTTGTCCTGCATGATGCCAGACACCACCTTCAAAGCTGTATCTATCACAGTTACACTTAGTGGGAACAAATTCAAAAATTGATGCAATTACAACTGATAATTCCCATATCTGACTCCCAGAGTCTCTCTGCCGCCTTCTCCCAGACTTCTCCACAGTCTCTGCTGGAGAAGCAGCACTGTGTGGTTTGCCCAGAGCACAGAGCCACGCACAGGGGACACTAAAAGTGAGTCAATGACTGGCAAAAGCTGTCCAGTTTTACTGGCATGTTTCTGTAAGAGCACAGAATCTGTCACAACTGAAGGTACCTTACAACCTCATTTTACCCTGTGTTGCTGAAAACACTCCAGGTCACAGATCTTGATACCCAAGTTTGTAACACCAAAACAAAAACCTCTTAAAGCACTTTTGCTATTAGATACACATAATTATTTCTGTCCATTAGTGAATTACACAAAAAATAACGCATTTTCCTGTGTCAGCTATATCAATCCTGTGGACTAAACAGGTTCAGCTCTTACTGCACAAACCCAGCAGTGCTAACAGCTAGCCCCACCTAGTCCCAACTACAGGAACAGATCAAATTAAGCATAATAACTCATTCAGGAAAGCACAACTCCCTCTAACTGACAGGAAATACAACTAATTATTTTTCTTTTGCTATAATAAAATATGGAAATCTACTGAATTTAAAGGAAGAATGACTTACAGAAATGAAGCAAATCATTTTCTCACAAGTTACCTTCTTGGTTTGTGTATATATCTGCTGACTTCTCTTAGATCAGAAACTGTATTTATTTTTTTAAGAAAAGAAGCAACACATGAAATAGGTATTTGAGTTTGTTTCCCGCTAAGTGGGAAACTCAGTAAAAATTACAACACATATACCTTAATCAATTGTTCTGACTCTCTCCATTCCCCATCACAATGCCTAAAAGCCTTTATTCTCACAAATTCTGTGCATATTAGGTTAATATTTTACATATTAGAAAGGTAAAGTAGCAGAAGATTAAGAAATTGTTTTTCAGAAGTCTGAACATGTAACACAAAAGATAATTTAGGAATAATGGTGTGCAAAAAAACCATGACTGATTGTGCCCAGAGATGGGGGTAGCTTCTAGATTAATTAAGGAAAGTGAAAATTGAATTAAAGGTGCCTGAAAGTACCAACTAATGAGCTACTGTAATAATTCACAAAATAAGATAAAAAAATTAAAATTTAATGCAGCTAAAGAATTCTTTTCAGTATTTCCAAATCTTTCTATAGACCACAGGAAAAGACCACTGGCCTGACAGAGTTCAAAATTTTAAGAAATTTACAGTATTTGGCTTTTAGGTGGGAATTCAAAATTATGTAACTTTCCTGACAGATTTCCAGAGTACATACATCACACACAGATTTTTGCTGCTGTTTAACAGGATGCTATAAAACATATAAGCTCTTTGAGATCATAGCAATAACACAGTTCTGTTTCAAGGTGGACAAATTTTGCTTAAAATTTTGTAAGACATGCAGTGAAATTGAAATAAATCAGGCTGTAATAGTTGGCAAAAAGAAATGGAGCAGTGAGACAGTCACAAAGGAGCAATGAAGCAACAACTAAAGAAGAGCTACCTTTTGCACGTACAGCAAAAAAAATATTCCTTTCAACCACAAAGCCATGACCAGTGGTGTGAAGGAGTTTAATCTGTGAGAAGCCAAGCCAGGCTCTCTGCTGAGTCTTCTGTGGCTCCAATAGGTTTAGGACAAGTCCCAGGTCAGTGTGAAGCGGGCAGGAGGTGGCACTGACCGTACCCCACTGATATACAAGATTTCCCAGCTGAACGCCTGGCCCTCTGTGGCCAGACTTGCTGCTGCTCAAAGTGTTGGGTGGCTGATGCACTCATGGGCAGAGTGGAAAGAGCACTGCAGATTGGCAAGATTTTACATAAAACTCTCTTAATATAAACGAAGACAAACTCTCTGCTGAATTGTCTTTCTAGACCTGGTTCAAGCATAGGTGTTTTTTATAGATACTTGCTGCAGAAAAGTTATAGATGAGGAATGAGTCCCCCCTGGTGGCTCGGACAGACACATGCAAAAACCTCCTGCTCCTTCCTTACTGTACTTTTATTGCACAGGTCAGGACTATTCCAATGCTTTAAAAAGTCAGTGTAAGAAAGCTCAGTTTAAAAGGATCTGGCTGGCTAAATGGGAAAGCAGGAACAATAATACTCTGGTATCACAGCTAAAATAATCTTTTTCACCATGATTATAAAGCCTACAACATTGACTGGTGTGTTTGCTCAAACTGTCATTATATCAAAATAACCTAAATTATTTTTAAATATTTCCAGCAAATTCCATTTTAAATGCTTGTGGTTTTTCATGCCAACATTGATGCTATTCATAGAGGTGATCTTTTGTGATGACCACTAAAGTCCCAAACTAGTGCACTAATGGTGTGAGGAGTCTGTTCTGTTCCTTTTAAGTCAGTATGAGGATCACTGTAGATTATAAAGTTCTATAATTTTACTAAATCCTCTTCCTTTACAATAATCTTTTGCTTATATATTCCTATCCAGAAGAAAGGTGAAAAAGAAAGAGAAGTGGAAAGAGGTACACAATGTTACTTCACTGAGGTTTTGTCAGTGAAATACTTCATTTATTCCGAAATGCTTTGCAAGTGTATTCAGTAGGAACCAGCTTTCATATCCCATTAACAGTACATAAATTCAAGTCTAAAGAATTTAGAACTTCATACCTATGACTTTTAATTTTTTTACATCTGAGATGCTGAGAATAGAAGTTTATTCCAAGTTTCCTCACTGATTTATGGTTAAAATCCTAAAAATAATTCATGATATTTTTATCTTCTTTCTCAATGGATCCAAAAAGTGCTTAACTTACTTGCAACTAAGTTTTTCAAAATAATCACTTTGTATTTGGATTGTTGGCTGCATGTGAGTACATTGACCACGAGAAGTCTAAATCTGTCAGTAAAATCTCCCTCAGAAAAGAGGAAGGTAGACATGCTCATATATATAGTTTATAATATACGTGATCATAATATCCCATCACAGAAAAATAAATAACAGTACACCAGTATAGCAGGGGAAAGTACTCCATTTCAAAGTGTTAGTCAGGCAGAATTAAAGATTATGTCATAACTTTTGACATGTAACAAAATTTCGCTTTAATGATAAACCCTTCTAAGATGTTAACCACATTTATTAAATAAAGAGGCAATAATAATTTTCCTTGCAGGACCATTTGTGAGTTTTTCAAGTAGATTGTTTTGTACCTGGAAGCAGACATTTATTCCTTCTGATTCTGGGCTTAGGCTTGATGCTGAAGGCACTATAACATATAGAGGCTCTATATAAGGCATAAGACTGCATTCACAAAATAAAAACACACTCAACAATCGGCATGAATAGAAAACTGCAGACTCTTCTCAAATCCCCTCACCCAATCTTTGACAATGTTTATAGTGGAAGTTGAAAGTCATGCCCAGGGATACAATAAAGAGGTAGAGGATTCATTTCCTTTACAGGCAACTGATGAAGTGCTTGAGCATGCCATGGGAGTGCAAACCAAGGACAGTGCACTGGCACATATCCAGTGGTGAGTTGGTAGCATTTGAGTAAGAAACCAAGGAGTTTTGAAACATAGAAAAAAGGCTGTGCATTACTCTATGTTTTGTTAAATACTGTATGAACTTTGGCTTAGTGGTTTGATTTGAATATATGACATTAAACCACTGGAGACTATTAAAATATAGCAAATACATACCAGGTGGTATGGCTTTCCTGTGCAAACAATTATGTTGGATGTAACTCCCTGCCTCTTGCCAGTAGCTTTATGGTTTATTCTTTGCAAGCCAAGTTTAGGACTAAAGCTTACAGTTGTATTCTAAAGTATTCATTAAACTATTAAATTTGTCAAAAAGAAGAGAAAGCAGAGGATGAAGGGATAAGAAAGGGATGTGTCCTACCTGAGGCTCACAGTAACCACAGCACAGCAACACTGTCTACCCTGGAATTCTAGAAAGGGAGACAGCTGGACATATTTTGTGGCTGTCTGCTCTTGTTCTCTGTTATTCCTTGCTTAAAATAGCTGCTTGCTGAGATCTGTGTAGCTCTGGGATAATCTTATTATAATGGATCCAACTCATAGCTAAGCACACTTGTCCCATTTCTCATGCAGGCTGCAGCCGGCTATGCTGTACATGGGGGAATGAAGAAATCCATGGTATGAGGCATGAAGAAATTTGTGGTATGGCCACAGAACTACAGAGCAACCAAATTACAGCGGTTCACCAAGTTTCCACCCTCTTAAGTTATACTGAGCAGTTGTAATAATTCACATCTGCTCTTAATTTTTACAGCACGAAGAGCTTTCCATGAAGTTTCCATCACCTAAATTAAGCCCTCATGGTACCATGCAAAAATTTACGGATTTAATTCATCTGTGCCAATGTGACGGCTTTGGTTTGTAATAAAGCAAGCTCCAGTCACATTAGTTACCTTTTAATTCTGGAGTGTGGTTAAGAGTGTGAAGTACCTCAGAGCTTTAAAGATTTCTCTTTGAAGTATCAAAGAGG